ACACAATTATTGACCAGACAGATGGACTGGCTGGCAACATCAGTTACCCGATAATTCTATCAATCTCAAAGGAAAAGAAAACACAAGCCATGACTGACAAATTTTAAAACATGAGAATATGCTTTGGTTTGCATTGTCTCTCCTAGACTATCTGAGCAGTCTCCCATGCTCACACGGTGCTTCTGCTACAGCTGTTGTCCTCCTCCAAATGATCCACCACAGAGACAGGGATGGGCATCAAGGAAGCCAGGCAGGAACCAGTGCATTATATTTTACTTAGACACTTTTGTAGGAATAATTTTTACCATTACTCAATTTGTTATAATCAATTCTTAGATAAAATTATTACTCACTGATGCTTTATGTTACAGAGAAAAAGAGCTGACATTTTGAGGGTTTTCAGCTTGGTATTAGTTTTACTATCCAAAAATTCTTCCATTTCTTCCATATAATAGTTTGTTCTTTAGGGGTGGATTTTTTCCTATTATACAGCAGTCTAGACAGAGTGAGATGGTATAGAATTCCCCAAGAAATACACGACAGCCAAGGATGCTGTCAACCTGGTTTTTGCTTACTTTCTTTCAAAAGAAAGGTACAGTAATCTGAAAGTAATTGACAACTATATACTAGCATTATCAAATGTATGTTTATGAAATCCCATGAGCATGCATGAGCTTTTAAAAAAACCAAAACTTCTTGCTCAAGCCATTACTCTTCTGAACTCAGCATAGCCTAGGACATGAGAGAAGTCAGAGCAACAGGAAGAAAACAGCAATAAAACTGCAATAACATCAGTTGCAGGTAATTAACAAGGGCTGATGATAAGACCCACGTGGCCTTAAAGGCTCCTCTGGACTTCCCCAGAGCACCAAGACATCCCCAAGTCCTAGGAGGAACCAAAGCAATGAAATACATCAACTCCTACCATGATGCATGAATCCACTGTCACAGAGCCCCATGCCAAATATCATCGCCTCTTCTCTGGTGCGGCAATCCCCCTGTTAGCCAAAAAAATACTATGTCAGTCTATATGGAACTTCCAGAAGCTCTGCTTGCTCTCTCACTCACTCTCTCTCTCTCGCTCTCTCTTTACATTTTAAATAAATCACATAGCATTTATATAATATTTCAAGAAGAATTTGTTACGATTTAATGACATAATGTCAAAGCAATATATTGTGATTCTGTTATTCATATCATACATTAACATGGTCTCTGTGTGTTTGGGTTTTTTCGTTTGTTTTTTGGTACTGGAGATTGAACCCAGGACTCTCGCACCAAGCTGCATCCCCACACATTTTCAGTTTTTTTTTTAAATTGAGGTGGGATCCTCACCAAGTGACTAAAAGTCTGAGCTTTGAACTTGTGACCTTCCTGCCTCAGCCTCCCACACAGCTAAAAAATTGGCATGTATCACTGTCCCCTGCATGCTACACTTTTAATACATTTGATCTTCTCAGCACTATATTTATTTACTTATATTTATTTATTTATTTATTTTTGTATTTTAGGACAGGGTCTACAGGGTCTACAGGTCTCACTGTGCATATCAGACTTGTAGTGATCCTCCTGTTTACAACCTCCCAAGTGCTGGGATTACAGGCACCCACCATCACGCCCAGTCTCAATCGCCTTCTCAGCACACCCACTGAGCTACTGGGCCAGCCTCAACATATTTAAACAAATCTATTCTTATAGAACAGCATTTATTCCTACATAAGACAGGATTCATCTAATTTATGAAATGAATTATATCTACAAATGGAGTATTTGCTCAATATGAAAACATCACCTAAAAACATTTAGTATTTTTTGAGAAAAACATTTTATTAAATATGAAAATATATAACTAAAAAATTCCCTTTTTGTCTTTTGAGACAAGGTCTTGCTCAGTAGTACAGGCTGGCCTTGAACTCACTTTGTAATCCAGGTTGGCCTTTAACTCAGAGCCATCCTCCTGCCTCAACCTCCCCAGTGCTGGGATTGCAGGCCTGTACCACCATGCCCAGGTGGAAAAATATTCTTCTTATTTTAAATTATCCCTTTCTGTTATTTCTTAGTTATACAACAGGGAAATAGATTCTAGGTTGATAACACAGAGAATGAAGGAAACATCGTGATACATGATCTTGGCCACTCGTACTCCCTTCCCACCAAGTGTCCATGCTCTTGTGGAGTCCTAGAGCAATCTATTAGTCCATGGTAACTTGTAAGATCTTAACATAAGTTATTTGGCGAGCCAGAAAATGCAAGCTTCTTTTTCATCATCTTGTTAAAAAAAAAATTGAACAGACTGTGCAAATGAACCCAATAAAGTAGCCAGAGCAGCTGCTTCACACAGTTTTGATCCAGAAAATACCTATCTTTAACATAAGTACTTGTCCATCTATCCACATGAGCATGTATGCAACCTTGTATGTGTGAATAACCACAAATTTCTATATTTTGCAGATTAAGAAGGTTATTTTAACGTATTATCTTTTTCTTCCTAGTCCTACTTTTTAGTATGTAGGTACTCTACTGTCAATGTTCTAATCTGTTTTTCTTTAAATCCCACATCTAAATTACCATATTTTTCCTGTGCTCTATCTAGCACACAAATTACAGAATTAGATTTTCTTACATAGCAATTATATCTTCAAAATCTTATTTTTAAAGTAATCATAGTATATCAAAATTTCCTGTTGGTCTTGCAAAACCATCCTTATCCTGGTTTTATCCAACCTCTCCAGCCTCACTTTCCAAGCTTAAAACACAAAAATTTTGTCCTTGTCAACAATCACCTGTTGCTTGAACACTGACATTGTTATCACTGCAGTCATTCAAGTAATTGTCACATGTAGAGTGCTGGTCTTTACCCTCCACACATTTAAATTTTATCTGTCTGTCTACAAGCCACCAACATCAGTTCCAGCTCATAAAAACTACAATAACCTAATAACTTCTCAAACACTTAAACATTGCAGCTCAGATTGTGCCTCATGCCCTCTTCTAGCTGTGTTGTAATTTTATATGTTCATCTAAAAATATTTGTGTTTTCCACATACTGTGCTAAATACTAGAGATGAAATGTTAGAACATTCAAACATAAAACACTTTGAGAGCACCAAATCCTAACCACTAGACCACCAGGGAGCATCTAACACTTTGATACTATCTATTAATTTGAATCTAGTAAAGGACTGTGGCCACTTAAAGTGTGGTACATAGTATCATCAGCTATGTTACTCAATATTCCTGATCAGGCAAACATAACCAGAGAAGGAGGACCATAGAAGACCCTGAACCTAGGGTAACACAGCTTGTAAGGTTCTCTAATTAGACGATAATTCAGCAGGACTTTGGAGGAAACAAAAAAAAAAAATGAGGCCAACTGACCAAGAGCCCTTGAAAGCAACAGCATTGACTGTTAGATTGGAGCCGCCTGCTTCCTCTTGTCCTGTAAATCTGTCCAAATCAACTGAGTCCATACTGGTTAATACTGAAAATTAAGAATCATTTGAGATTCTTAGTGGCAAGAGAGCCTTACTTTATTAAAGTCTCTTCCTTCTATTAGATTAAGTTCTTTGATTTGTTATCTTATCATTCCATTGCTGTCTTCGTATTGCAAGGCATCCCATGCTGTTCTCGTTTGAAGGTAAACAGAATTGAGTATGTCGGATGCTTAATCTGGAGAAATTTTATAATATGCCAGGCATAAAGAGTCATCAATAGATAAAAGGTGGCCTATACAGCTATTCCAGTAAGTAGCCAACAGCTGTTAAAACTACAGTCAAAGAGAGATTCCTGATCTGCCTAAATTTGCATGACTAGTTATTAGCAGAGGTGGCAGCCGACCCTAGGTTACTAGACACTCAGTCAAGTGCAATTACTACCACATACAATTTTTACAAGCATCATCTTAACAGACCACTAAGAAAAATGAAGAAAAAAAATCAGCTTGGTCTAGTTTTCATGCAACTTACTCTAGTCCTCTACTGGTTACCCTTGGAAAATGAAAGTACAAAAGAAAATCAATTACTGACTTTCAGAATTAGAACTTAAACATTTATTCAGCACCAGCATTTGCCACAAACAAATTTTCTCCAAATTTCTTACATAATCAATATGTTATACAACACAATTCTACAGTAGCCTAATTCCTGTGTGAAATACCAACTCTGACACTGAACACAGAACTGACTCCTGTGACAAGTGATGACCACAGTACTATAGAAGGTTCTTATGTTAGTAAAGCCACTGAGCACAGGAATTAGGGTTTTACCTCAAACCTACTGTTCAGTTACATTTAAAACAGTAACTTGTAAGGGTAAAAATTTAAGTTCCACAAAATACAAAAATAGAAGGTCTTAAGCAATCTAGAAATTAATACTAAAAAGCAAAAATCTCAAACTGTATGTGCACAGACAAGCCAAACAGGGATTAAGTATTAATAATTAAAACATTTTATGATTAAATATCAAATGTTATTATGTACTTATAACAAAGTACAGCTATGCTTCTTTAAAAACAAGAGTAAAGCTGCTTAAGAAACTGATTTAAATAGCTAAGTGTGATGACTTATGTCTCAACCACACAGTATTTTCTCTCCCTGGCAGGACATTTAATTAAAGTAGACATCAGCTTTTAGCTATTTCTTTAATCAGTGGAATGCAGTCATTCATTTATTAGTTCACCTGGTAGAAGACAGTATCTCAGTAAGCTTCTGTGTGGGCAGCTACATGATGAGCTACGCATTTTAATTTGTTTTACTTATAAAGAAGTTACATTTTTTTCAATGCCAGCTGTCAGCATCGCATCCAAAGGACAGCAACAACAACAAGAATGAAATCTGTACCTCTCTACTTAGGATATGTGTTAAAGCTCATATTATCAATGCACAGTTGCTACCTAACAGGGAAAAGAGGCACAGGAAGATCGTAGTCGTTTGCAAGGACTCATAAACAGACATTTTACAACAAGTAAGTGAACATGTAAAAATACTTAGTGTGTGAACATAGTAATTCTTCAGTGATATTCAAATTATGCTTAATGGTTTTTTTTTTGTAAATCTCAGCTACTTAAAAATAGGAATATTCTACTTTTGAGAGACAAGATATTATAAAATGCTAGTTTTAAGACTTGTAGTTAGAAATACTAAATTCAATCCTAATTCTCCAAAAAGCTCAGTAAATTACTCTGTTTCAAGATATGTGGAAGGGGGCTGCCTGACTCACAAGCACATGCTCAGAGTTCAAAGCAGCAGTGAACACAACGCAGCGACTTGTCTATTTACCTGTGCAATTAACCAGTCAATCAATTTGTTGGCCATGACCACAGATTTGTAGGTCCTTAAATGGTAATCTTTATCTCTATAAAAGAAAAAGAAATAAAAAATGTTATATGTAGGATATGTGGGCACAATGAAATACTTTCATTTAGTGCCCATAAACAACACAAAAGTTTACCAACTGCCCAGGCTGTGTGCAAATAATGTGGGTTGTAAAACAGATACAACACCTAACAATACTGCATCAGTTCAAACAAGAGGAAGAAAGACACACAACCACACCAACACAGGATAACTTCTGTCTCCTGTATCCAAATATATTTTACTGGTATGTCTAGAAATCATTTAAGTACAATATCTTATGAATAAAAAAATAATAAAACAAAATTTTATCCCTTAAATTGTGGCAGATTCTGGTAAAAATCCTCTCTAAATGTGGAGAATAAAGCAATCCTTTGTCCTGCTTCTACATTTCCCAGGAAGGCAGAGTTGCACTAAAGGAGTATTCACACAACTCCCCTGATCAGATCATGGACACAGGGACACCATATCCCCGGAGAACTGGCTCTCCATATCGGACTCCCTGTGCAGCACGCATCCCAGAACTGAGAAATCATTCAAAGCACAGATACCAACAAAGTCTCGTGATCAGTTGTGGGCCTGAGGGCAAAAATCTATAATGCATTCATTTTCTAGGCATGGATCAAAAGGGACTAAGAAAGTCACGGTCGTTTGAAGATGTCAAACTACGCAAGCCGCAAAGCGCTCAAAGTGAGTAGTAATTACTAGCTACATTCCCTGCCCTTTAGCCCCTGTCAGTAATGTAAAATTAATATTTACATCTTTTTACGCACTTGCATAAAAACTGTAAAGTATGGTTCAAATTTATGAGATTTCAATAATAAATAAATAAGCTTAGCAGGTAAACACTGATAGTTTTTTTTTTAATCTTTTAAAGCTATCTTTATTTCTGATGTTAATATTCATTTCACATGGGTTTCCATAAGCATCAGTAAGAAAGAACAGGGTAGACTACTATACAGCCCATGTGCCTGGGGTTTTTCTCACTACACAGTTATTTTTGTATAAGCTGATATTACCCCTATTAAAAGCATGACTATCATATATTATATCCATCTTATGGTTTTTTCCCCTTAATTACTCCCTTGACAATTCATAAACAATTGGCATTTCAAAGCAAGAGGAAATTCTCAGCATATTTTCAGAGCACATGTTCACATCTAAAAAAAATCTACATATATACAGATGACTCGTAAGCCAATGTTAACTACTAAATTCTTATTTGTCTATTTATTTAACAGGAAAAAATAAGTAAGTTGTTACTATTAAATATTTCTTTTAAGTTGCTGTTAAATATTGCTATTAAGTATCTGTATTAAATTATTCAAACTATCTGAAGGTTATCTCTAAGAGAATTATGGAATAATACCATAAATATTCACTTTTTCCACACCTTTCTACTTTGGGCAGCCTACTTTCTGGAGCAATGGGTAAAATCCTGTGTGCTCCTGTCGGGCCTGAACCCCATGTGTGTATACAGGGGAAGTGGATGCCAATATACTTAGCAATTCCTGGGATCTCACTATTTCTTTAAATTCAGCATTTCCTTGGAATTTAAAACCAAAATGAAAAACAGAAATACTACCCACATTAAACATTCACATTTCAAAGCCAACACTGAAAAGACATGTCTATTCATTTCAGAAATGACACATGTATTTTTGTTCTAGGGTTTTCAGCTTACAAATAAGATCCTTATAATATCTACTTATGAGGAATTAATTTATCCTTCTATCATCTAATGTACATTTGTCTGTGTACTGCAAAAGTACATTCCTGACAACTTCCTCTATCAGTACTCATAATACAGAATTGAAAATCTGAAAATCTTCCTTTATCATTCTAAAGATAAAAATTAAAAATTGATCCTTGCTACTCATTTAAAAAGTTATTTCTCTTCACAAGCAAAAAATATTCTAAGAATACAACTATGCTTTCTAAACCAAAATTCATTTCTTAATTTTCAAGTACACAATATTTTCTCTACATAAATATTCTTAGAAGGAAATACCAAAAAAGTAGGTATTTATTACTTGATTACAAAATCTAATGTAATGTTAATATATAGTTTCTTAATGATAAATATTGAAATGAGATAGTATTTCCAAATCCTCTTTCAGTCAACTATTTTTATTAACTATTCACTAAATGTGGATTATTTTATTTTCAAGTCGTTAAATGACTGAAAATGAATAACAAAATAATTATAAAGATCATAATTTGAAAAACAGAAGACACTGTAAGATTAGTCTCAGAAAGAACTAGAGTTATTTTAAGATAAGATTATTCTTAAGATTACTGCCAAGTTTTTTAAAGTAAATTTTTCATTTTCTAAGACAAAATAATTTCTAATATGCAACATAAATATTTCTATTTGAAATTCCTGGAACTTAGAAACCAGACTCACCTCACTACTGGAGTAAACAGACTATGAAGACGACAATATAATCTTACACCCTACGTGAAATAAAGATATGTCAAAAAAAGCAAGAGCACAAAGTGTCAACAAAATTCTGAAATGATAAATGAGTCCACATAAAATATCCTGGAGTCATCACATGGTCTCAAATACTTTAAGAGTTAATCCAATGTTATAATAAATAATAATATAAATAATAATTATGTTAATATTATGCTAATATAAATAATGACTAAAATCCTTTTTAGAAAGATTAAATTTTACAATGAATTTCTCACATACATATGACATAAACAATGACTTTTTCTAAATTACTTAAAACATAAAATTTCAAGATATAATTAAAGCAAAAGAAATCTTATAGCAACTAATCTAGATTATGGGTTCATTACGTTAGTGTAAATTGTGTTAAGTATGTGATCAAAATTAATCTTTAATTTTTATATTTGTATTTTTAAAACTTATTCAAGTATTGTTATTGTACATTGCTATCTGTGAAATAGTGTTCAATGGATACAGTCTTCAATGGATATAATAAATAGCAAAATTTCTATTTAGAATTTGATAAGAGTACAGTGAAATGACTCAACATTGAAGTTTTTGAATTACCAAAGCAAAAGTGGCTAGCTTACACATGTGATTTAAGAATTTTCTGTAAGAATAATTTCTTTTTAAATCCCACCACAACTTTTATCCTTCCCAAGTATGACAACATAAACTCTGCCACTGGAGTAATACTAAGAGAGGTCTTTACCTTTGAAATCACATCCTGCATCTCACTTCTTGGATAAAAAGTACCATCATCGTAGCGGAATCTATATAACATCTGCTCTGGTTTAAATTGATGTTTATCAGTAACTAAAAACGCAGAAAAAAATACATTAAAATAATATCAACCTAACAAGTGGCAGATAAAACTCAAAATAAAAGTACGTAAGATACATTTCCAAATACTAGAGCTTTTAGTTTTGCAAAAACGTTTTGCTTTTCTAGCACCGCAATGCCAATTTTGCATTTTTACAGTGAAATTCCTAAGTTTTACTATTCAATATCCTTACGATTTTCATATGACTTGAGACTTAAGTTCAAGTTATCAATACTCAGTAAGCATTATGTATATGTGTGGAAATACACAAGGTTGTGTTTTCTATTTCTTCAAAATATGACAAAACTGAACAAAAACTGCATTTTGAAAAGCAGACAGTTGTATTAGTGAGCCATGGTTTGATTCTTGGCCCTAGAAGCAAATTTTATTATTTAACAGCTTAATCTTGCTGTAATCAAGCCAAGACCACACACATATAAATTTTGACCACTTGTGTTTAGACCTCAGGAATAGGTTAAATAATTTCAATATGTAGAGATTCCAAAATTTTACCAGTTCTTGGACTAAACGATGTTTGCCTAAAATGTTACTTCATTTATTTTCTCAGTGGAATAAAAGAGTGATAATCATTTATTATCATCTTCAAGATAAGACTTTAACGACTCCTGGTCTTAATGGTTTGACTAGTAAACAACAAACTGAAAAGAAAAAAAAAAAAAAAAGACAGCTAAGCAAAGCAAAGCAAAGGAAATGAAAGGAAAGGAAAAGAGAAAGCAAAGCAAAGCAAAGGAAAAGAGAAAGGAAAGGAAAGGAAAAGAAAGGAAAGAAAAGGAAAGGAAAGGAAAGGAAAGGAAAGGAAAGGAAAGGAAAGGAAAGGAAAGGAAAGGAAAGGAAAGAAGGAACCTGATGTAAAACTTTCTCAAGCCCTTTCAAAAAATTGAAGAAAAAGGAGCACTTTCAAACTCATTTTGTCAGGTCAGACAAAAGCCCCACAACAAAACAAAATAAAAGGCAAGTATTCTTGATCATATGTGCAAAAATCCCCAACAAAATACTACCAAATATATACAATATTAAAAAGTCACAACCATGATAAAGTGGTATTTATCTATGTGATAAAAGGGAATGGTTTAACACTGACATATCAAAAATATGATAAACTCTATTAACAAAATGAAGGATAAATATCATTCATTAACAGAGACAAAACATCATTTGACAAAATGTAGCATTCTTTTATTATCAAAAAGCTCTTGACAAATTTAGCAGAAAAGGAGTATCTCTCAAGGGCTCCAAACCCTAAAGAAGGACCTCCACATCCTTGGGAGGTAGTGCGTTAAATTGCTGAGCCAATTTAGTTAAGCTTTTAACTTCTCAAGTTGGTACAATGTATAAATCACTACAAAGTTCCTTTTTGTTGTTCTCGAGGTTGTACTCATCATTTTCGTCTCTTTCAAGCGTTATCTGTCAGTACTCTTTGTAAGGTTGGTTTGGTGGTCATGAATTTCTTCAGTTTTGTTCTTTGTCATGAACATGATTTACCTCTCCATTAATTTTGATACACAGTTTTGCAGGGTACTTCAGTCTGGTACCCTGCAATCAATCGGGTTGGAAGTTATTTTCTTTGAGGACCTAAAATACTTCACTCCAAGCTCTTTTTGACTTGATGGTTTATGTTGAGAAATCTGCTGAGATTCTGATGGGCTTTCCATTATAAATGATGTTTCTTTTCTCTAACAGCTTTTAGTATTCTGTTCTTTTGCTGAATTTCTGGGATCTCGATTACTATGTGTCTAGGTGTAAATTTATCAATTTGAATCTGTTTCATGCATTCTAATTCTTTCCTGCATTGTTTATTCAATATTCCATTATTTTTTATTCTTTATTTTTTAATTTATTTTTTTTCCATAATTTTATTGATTGATAAACAGCAATGAGACAGTTTCAAATCTAATCGGAAGTACAGTTTCAACAAATAATACACTACATATATTCTTCTTAGTGGTTAATCGCTGTACAAGAAGTGGACTTGTGATCTTATTTACAAACACCATTAGAACAAATCATTCTATTCATTAAGAGAATGCAACTATATATCTATCCTAACCACTTTGGTTTTTTTTTATATATATATTTTTTTTATTTTTCAACAAATAATACACTGCATATATTCTTCTTATGGAATTGTTTCTTTACCTCAGTTGCTAACATTTCAGAAATTTCTTGTGTGTGACTTCCATGTTCCTCTATGTCCTTTTCTCCTGGACTTTTCTGAGTGGGCTGGAGGCCTGAGATTATCTTTTGTGCCTTGGCTTTGACATTTTTGAAACTCCCAATATTCACTTAGGCTGAGCAGAGATGATAGCAGGGCAGGATGGGGGTCATGAAGGTTCCTACAATAGTGGTCCAATGGGGTAAGGTAACCAGAATTCCCACTGTCTGGGGATCAGTGTGGCTTCCACAGTGTTAAGTGGGGGGAGAGGGGACAGCCACAGCCCACTAAGGCTCTTACAATGATTTGGGGATAAACTGCAACTCAGTGAGTCTCCCACAACACTGTGGGAGACAGCTAGCTCTCTTTCAATGGTGTTATTTTGCTTCAGAGAAGGCCCTCCAGAAGGAAAACGGTAGTATTTCTGCAGCTGACAACTGCTAGGTAAGTTTGTAATTTTAGTATAATACTAAATTCTCAGCCCAAGACATGACACTGTTGGCCACTTTTAAAGCATCTAAGTATGATGGGGTATGGCCTCAACTGCAGAATTGTACATGCTCAAGAATATACTGCTGAGGCCGAGGAGATAGCTCAGTGGCTTACGTGCCTGCCGGGCAAGTGCAAGGTCCTGAGTGTAATCTCCAGTACAAAAAAATAAATAAATAAAGTAAAGAATGTGCTTCTACTTCATGTGATGATAAGTCTTTCTTGTATTAATATGCTTAAAATTTCCCAATAGACGCACCTTGCCTTCTCTGTCAGAAAAACATCTTGCTACAAGGAGCAAATCTATTGCATTTGCTCTTATTGCTTTTCAATGTGGTACTAACATTTTAGCAAGAACAACTAGATTAAAAAGCAAGTATAATGCATCCAAACTGAAAGGAATTAAAACCTATATCTTTTTGCACATTACATGATTTATATACAGAAAAACTTACAAATTATTCTAATAGTTATATTTTTTTATTTTTAAAAAAAATACAAAATAGTAAATTAGATGTTTAGGTTTCCAGAAATAAATGTGCAGAATTGGTTTAAAAAGACAAAACAAAATAATACAATAACTATAAAAGTTATAAGAAATGTAAAAGAAAAAAATTTAAGTATTAACTACTCCTTTCAAAAGATCGGCATAAATCAGCAGTACAATCATCCAAATAATAATAGTAATAATTATTAGAGTTTTTTCATAATATAAAAATCAAACAACTGAGCTTTGTAGCATCTCCATATGCTAATAATGAACCACCTCAAAAAAGAAGAAAACTATCAATTTATAATAGCATCAAAAAAATCAAAGAATAAATCTGATCAAAGGGGTAAAAAGATCTATATTGAAAACTCTAAAACATTGATAAAAGAAGTTGAAGATATAGATAAATGGACATATATCTTATGCTCATGAATTGAGTCCATACTAACCTAAGTGACCCAGGGAAAACAATCTCTATCAAAATTAAAATGTCATGTTTCACAGAAATAAGAAAAAATCCTAAAGGTCCTGTGAAATCACAAAGGACTCTGAATAACTATAGCAATTACAAACAAAAGAAACAAAACAGAGGTATTACAAACTTGACTTCAAAATATACCACAAACTTATACTATATTATGGTTGCAGAGTGAAAATTCATAGACTAAGGGAACACAACAAAGATCCCAGAAATAATCTCATGAATTCAGGGTTAACTAATCTTCAATACAGCTGCCAGAAGTTCATAACAACAAAGGACTTTCTCTTTAATAAAAACATCAGGAAACCTGGCTATTCACATGTAGGAGAATAAAAACAGTTTTATCTCTCATTATATATAAAATGAACTCCACATAGATTTTAAGACTTAAATATAAGACTCAAAACTGTAAAACTACTCCAAGAAAAAAATAGAGAAAACGTCTTATATTAGTCTGGGCAATGACCTTCTCATATGACACCAAAGTTGCACACAACAAAAGCAAAAATAGACTAATTCTGCACAGCAAATAAAATCATCAACAAAATAAAAAAGTAACCTATGAATAAGAAAAAATATTGCAAACTATATATCTGATAAATGCTAATATCCAAAATATATAACTCATTCAACTTACTATCATAAATACAAACAAGCCAAATGAAAATGACTAAATGACTGAAATAGATAATTCTTCAAAGGAGAAATCCAGAAGGCAAACAGGCATGTGAAAAGGTGCTCAACATCTGTTATCATAAAATTGCAAAGCGAAGCATAATGAGTTATAACCTCACGAAGGATGACAGTTACCCAAAAGGGAAAAGATAAGTGATGAAGAAAATATAGAAAATAGGCGTGGCAGCATGCGCCTGTAATCCCAGCTCTTGGGAGACTGTAAACAGGCAGATTACTACGACACAGATCTAGTGAGACCCTGAACACCCTGTAGACCTTTCCCTAAAATACAAAAACAAGCAAACAAAAAAAGATATGGGGGGAAGACTGTTTCACATGTTTAGTGAGAATATTAGTGGAGGTATTAGGAACTACAAAGATGGAAGTTCCTCAAAAAAAATTAAAAATAGAACAATTATTTGATCCAGCTGTCTCACTTTAGGGTCAAAGTCCAAAGAAAATGAAATCAGCATGCAAAGAGCTCTCATTTCACAAAAGCATTACTCACAAAAGTCAATGAAATAATCAACCTAAGTGTCTGTAACCGGATGAACAGCTAGAGAAAACACAGATAACATACTGTATACTTGAAAAATTTTAAGAGGACAGATCGTAAATGTCCTCACTCTCATCAAAAGAAAAAAACATGTGATGTCAGGGGCAAGTTGATTAGCTTACTGTCATG